GAGAAACTATCTTGTAGATAACAATATATAAAACAATAACCACTGATAATTTCCTACTACTTCGTTTGTAACTTGGTACGCCCCCCCCATTATTATGTTATCCTTCTTTTACTCTTTAAAATAAATAAATAAATAAATACATACATACATACATACATACATAAAATAAAAAATTCTTGTTACAATTTGGGCGTGGTGCCACACTCCCATAATCCCAACACTGGGGAGGCTGAGGCAGGAGAATCACCAGGAGTTCAGGCCACAGCCTGGGCAACACACTGAGTTCCAGGCCAGCCTAAACAGTATAGCAAGGCCTTGCCTAAAGAAATCCTCTCATTAAAAAAAATCTCCAGCCAGGCAGGGTGGCATATGACTACAACCGCAGCACTCCAGAGGCTGAGGCAGGAAGAGTTCGAGACCAGGGCCTGAACTACATAGCAAGACCCTGTCTCAAAAATAGTAATACTAATAATCTCCAAGTCACTTTGGATTAATGTCACTTAGATTTCTCTGAGAACATATGGTTATTTCTCTGTCAAATCTGTTTGATTAAGGTAAGAGTCAGAAGAGTGTATTTCTCTAATGTCTTTTATTTCTGCATATTAGTGAAGCAGAGAAATTAACATTACTATTTCACCATATGTAACAACACTGAAAGGAAAAGAACACCTGACATGCTCTTACAAAGCACAGAACCCCAGCCAGGGACAGCACCCTGATGCGGGTCACAGACAGCTGCCCGCAACACTGACCATGTGCGCACAGGCAGTGCGCTGCAGGGATGCACCCAACTTGCAGCAAAAGCCCACCTGTACTCCTTTCCCTCAACAGCTAACAAAGCAGCATGTCTAACATTTGATACTGAATCACTAGAAGGAATAAAGTTTTTTGTTTAAAGTCAGGTCTGTTGGGTTTAATGGACATGAGCTAACCCACTGACGCTTACTTTGGAAGTTCCTGGGTCGGGGATGTAGCTCAATAGCACAGCACCTGCCTGGCAAGTACGAGGTCGTGGATTTGATTATCAGTACCAAAAAAAAAACAAAAAGTTCCTACTGTCTTCAACAGCCACTTGAATCTGAACAGCAAACTGACAAACAATATACCATACTTAAAAGTCTCTTCTGTACTGTCCAAAATGGAAAAAGAATTTACGTTATCAAACATACTTTTTTCATTCATTCAAAGCCAGACACGGCAGCTAGGATGCATTTGTAAGGGAGGCAGAGGCAGAAAGATTGCTAAATTCACCCCTCCTAGGCAACTTAGTGAAACCCCTGTCTCAAAAGATAAAAAAGGGACGAAGGGTAGAGCCAGGCAAGGTGGCGCATACCCGCAATCCCAGCTCTTGGGAGGCTGAGGCAGGAGGATCACTGTAAGTTCAAGGCCAGCGTGGGCTACACAGTGAGTTCACAGCCAGCCTAAACTATGTGACAAGACCCTGTCTGAAAGAAAATAAGAAGGAAACAAAAAACAAAGGTGGGTGGGGGAGCAGCCCGTGAGTGGCTCAGTGTGAAGAACAAAACAAAAAAATAAAAACACAGAAGCTGATTTTACTGTTTTGTTCACAGCCCAGGGTCAGAAAACCAGGAGAAGGGTTCCTAGCCAAACTAGAATACAAACTGTTTAGTGGCTGCAGCTCTGAAGCAAAGATGGAAGGATAACAGGTGATTTTAGTTTTTAAATTTCTTTAATGTAGCTATATCATATTTTTCCCCAATTAAAATAAAACTCTAACACTTAAATTTTTCATGTACATATATTAACAGCTAACAAAGTAAGAGATTTAAGTCAGAATTATCTTACGAAGTAAATATGAATATGTAATGAACACATGTAACTACCACGCCAAAAGTTGTTGATAAAGACGGTTTAAAAAGAGATTTAAAGCACTGGCTTCTGTTACGCCTGACAAATTTTGGCTCGCAGATTAAAAAAAAAAAAAAATTAGCTAACCCAACCTATGGAACTATTACCAAATTCTGGTAACATAACTTAAGTGATTTATGCTGAGCCTGGAGTAGTGAACCTGTGCCTGGTTCACAATATTTTAACCCTTGAGAAACAAAAGCCAAAACACAGTGCAAACCACATCAAAGATATTAACACAAAGCAAGATCACCCATACAATCATTCATGGTGTTTTCTATAGAAACCACAAAGGAAAATGCAAATGCCAGAGAAAAACACACATTCCCGACACATCATTCAAAGTTTTTGGAAGTACACTATTTCAGAAACTATGTAGAGACTTTACATACATAATTATGACAAAAGAGGCCAATCAATCTGAAATCTACTACTTGCTTAACACCACCTTCAAAATAATCCTAGAGGGGCTGGGGATTTAGCTCAGCGGCACAGCGCCTGCCTGGCAAGCGCAAAGTCGTGAGTTCGATTCCCGGTACCAGAAAACAACAACAACAACAACAAAATAATCCTAGACTCAAAACACATTTGTTTTAAAATGTGCATACATGGCTGGAAATGCAGTTTAGTGACTGAGCACATGCTTAGCACACACAAGGTCTTGGGTTCAATCCTCAGTACTCAAAAACCAAATTTTAAAAAAAAGTTAAAAAGTTAAGTGGCAAATGCCTATAATCCTAGCACTAGGAGGGCTGAGGCAGGAATAATGCCGTGAGTTGAGGCCAGCCTGGGCTGCACAGTGAGTTCAAGGTCAGCCTGAACTGCATAGCGAGACCCTGTCTCAAAAAAAAAAAAAAAAAAAAGTACGTGGAAGCCAGGAATGGTGAAAAACACCAGCAACCCCACATTTCCCTGAAAAGAAGACCTTGCCCAAAAATAATCAGCCTTGAAAACTAGAAGTCAAAATGCCGGCACCAAAAAGCCTATCTTTCCTGTCTTACAGAGCAGCCACTGTGCAGGAGAGTAGTGACGGCAGGTAAGGCAAGGATAAGCTGACTGGGGGCTGGCATTTTTGATCTCTAGTTTT